AAACACGTCTGAAAGTAGAAACGCGCCTGAATGCATCTTTGAAAACGCGTCTGCTGGCTGAGATGCATCTAAACGCATCTCTAAAACGCGCCCGAACACGTTTTATTAGTGTTTTTGAATTTAACCACGCCTAGACACGTTGGCAAACGCGTCTAGATGCGTCCTATGTGCGTTTCAGTTTTACATGGGAAGGACGAAACCGGTCACGATGCACTTGCTTACCTCTATAAATCAATTTAACCACTACTTGTGCGTTGGTTAAACTGCGCATCTCGTAGCAGTGTTAAATCTTGTATTCTATTGAATTGATTCTATTTAGAATCATTCATTTTATACAAAACCGTTTGATGAGACCCTTGAGCAAGGTCAAAACCGGTCACGGTGTGCTTACTCACCCTCATCCTCACACTTTCACGTCAAGCCCATGACAGCTCATTCCCCCCTGAAAGTCGATCTGTTTTCGATTGGTATGATGGCACGTTTATAGTTATTTCTTAGCTGATGTTGTGATCGTCGTAATGCTCTTGTCTTTCTTCAGACAATCATTGTGACGATGACTCACTGGTTTCCTTGAATGAAAACTTATATCGACGTTAGCCGCCAACAATACGCTAAAAATTGTATCTTCACTCATGAGTATTTATTTCTATAAGAATAGTCAAGAAATTTATTAACAAGTAACGCTCGTCGCTACGACTCACTCCACCCTCGACTGAAGAGTTAGAAGTACTTATACGCTAGTCCACTTTATCGAGACAGTTACTAATAGTATCACATGTAATCACCTCTATCGATTTACATATTTTATGACCCTTCCTTCAGTCGATGGAATAAGTTCTTTGAGTGATGTTTTCCGTTAAATGTACTATTCAAATATTGTGCACGTGCAGAAAAGCTATTCTCACACTTTATTTCAAATTATTTCTTAGTTCTTTGCCACTGCTAGCCCCTATTCAAACTCATTAGATCTACGCTGTTGATATTTATCCGATGAATCCCAATAGCCTGAAGCTTTTCTTCAGGGAATTTTTCGGTGCAGTGGCTAGCCGCTGCCACGTGTAATCCAATTCTCCCATAAGATCATCTTCTTTGATTTACACTCTATCAAATTCCAGGCTGCTCTTACTTCTAAAAATAGTTAGATTTATAACACGGGAATTCGTGATGGGCAGTCCCGAACCGGCACTTTCTTATAAACTATTCCTTATTTCTTCAATCTAATTGTCTAGTTGGAAAGTCAGATTTTTATTAGAATTCCTAACAACCCTTAGCCATATCCTCACGTCCCTGACTGTTCTCATTTCCATCGGCAAATCCCTCCCTATGTAGATTCTTATTCTGATACCTCTCAACAATTGGATACTTATTCATATTACTTTCTGAATTCTCGCAGCTATCTTGAAAACTATCATCAACCACACCTGTATTCACACACTCATCACAATCATCGTCCTTATACTCATAATCCTTCACGACCATGATCGTTATCCTAACACATCCCTCCACTCATTCTTATCTTCAAACTTCTCCCCACACCCGTATCCCTGTTCTCATACCTCCTAGATCCCCATCCATATTCCATCCAACTACATACACTCGCATTCTCATCTTCATATCCGTCTTAACAGTCACAGCTGTATCGAAAGTCTTAATTAACTACATGTCTATGCACAGACTTATCCACATCGTTTTTCCGAAACCTGTCCATATTCACATCACTATTCTCACACCCATACCCATCTTCCAGCACACTTTCAAACTCGTGCAATTCTTTAGGCAACCCTCACGATGTACATCTGTTTCGTTAAATGCTGTCAGACTCCCATCTCCATCTGCAAGCGTGAGCATCTACACGTCAACCCTCACATATCTTCACATCCACAGACCAACAAAGTTCCAAATCCATAGCGCTGGCTCACACTTAATACGTAGATGCAGAAAAGGGCAGCTAAACTTCATAGTACTACTTAGGTCTGACCAAAAGTTCCCAGAATATTAAATAAAAATATAAAGATACAGAGATATTTTCAATTTTATTTTATCAAATGTTGAGGACAACATTTTTTTTATGCTACTTTTCTCAACTTAAGAAGAGTGCACCCAAAAAAGCCATTTAACTCAGAAACCACTATGAATAAAGAGGAATCCCTCAATGTCGTTCAAATTAGACTGACTGCCGGGGGTGTGTAAACAGTATCTCATCACATTACAACTTACTAAAACACTCATCCCATTAGGCCACGCTCCGATTCGTGTCTACAACGATAGTCTGAAGAGACTATCGCAACTAGATAGCAAAAGCAGAATCCACATATCCAGAATGATTTTCCATATTCTAAATTTTCCTTTTTTCCAAATGTCTTTTTCTCAAAAAAATTTGCTTTTACCTTAGACAACAGTTCAGAGAGGAAAGGTATGATCTTTTCATGGAAATAAATATTTGATTTTCTGGATAGCTGACTTCAAGTTCGAATTTCCCAACCCCAATTTCCTTTCGTCAATCTTGATAAACTTTCATTATTTCCTTAAAAAACCTTTCCTTGACCCTAGAAACTCATTTCAAAATTTTGAGAATCTGACTTCAGATTCGGATTCCCCGACCCCGATTTACGTTCGTCAACCTTTATAAAATATCGTTATTTTCTCAAAAAACTCTTCCCTTGACCCTAAAAACTCAATTCAAAATTTTCAAAATCTGACTTCAGATTCGGATTCTCCGACCCCGATTTGCTTTCGTCAACCTTTACAGAAGAGAACTTAAAATAGATGTTCTTTTAACCCCGATGTTCTTTTGACCTTGTGACAAGCAACAAGCAAACTATTTTTTTTCATATGACCCTCCTTTCAGTCGAGGGAATTAAATGGCGCAATGACAGTCTGATTTTGTTACAGAACATAAACAGATTTTAGTAAAATTCTAAATTCACTACTTTAATGTTACTGCATGAATAGAGTTCAATATACGTATCAGTTGCAGGCAGATAAGAGAACACCGACATTGTTTGAACCTGAATTTGCGACAATAATATCGAGTTTGCTGTCTCCATTGACATCGACTGCTGCCACCGAATATGGGTCAGTGCCAGTTGAATAAGTCACTTGAGCAGCAAATGTGCCATTATCATTGTTAAGGAGAACACCGACATTGCCTGGACCGGAGTTTGCGACAAGAATATCGAGTTTGCTGTCTCCATTAACATCGGCTGCTACCACAGACCACGGGTTAGTGCCAGTTGAATAAGTCACTTGAGCAGCAAACGTGCCGTTGCCATTGTTGAGGAGAACACCGACGTTGTACGACCAATGATTGGCGACAATAATATCGAGTTTGCTGTCTCCATTGACATCGGCTGCTGTCACAGACCGCGGCTCAGTGCTAGTTGAATAAGTCACTTGAGCAGCAAACGTGCCATTGCCTTTGTTGAGGTAAACTCCGATGTTGTCTGGACCGGCATTTGCGACAAGAATATCAACTTTGCTGTCTCCATTGACATCGGCTGCTGCCACCGAATACGGCCAACTGCCAGTTGAATAAGTCACTTGAGCAGCAAACGTACCATTGCCATTGTTGAAGAGAACACCGACGTTTGTTGAACCTTGGTTTACGACAATGATATCGAGTTTGCTGTCTCCATTGACCTCGGCTACTGCCATCGAATACGGTCTACTGCCGGTTGAATAGGTCACTTGAGCAGCAAACGTGCCATTGCCATTGTTGAAGAGAACACCGACGTTGTTTGAGCCGAAGTTTGCGACAATAATATCAAGTTTGTTGTCTCCATTCACATAGGCTACTGCCATAGAACGCGGGTTAGTGCCAGTTGAATAGGTCACTTGAGCAGCAAACGTGCCATTGCCATTGTTGAGGAGAACGCCAACGTTGCTTGAAGCGTAGTTTCCGACAATAACATCGGGTTTGCTGTCTCCATTGACATCGACTGCTGTCACAGAACGCGGTTGACTGCCAGTTGAATAGGTCACTTGAGCAGCAAACGTTCTAGTGCACGAAGCTGCAACAAACCAAAAATTATTATTAGCACCACTGTAATTATGAAAAACAATTGCCTTACCTGAGTATTGTTTACTTTCAAAAAGGCTACTACAGCTCTTACAGAGACAGCGTGAGTAAACAGAATAATGCTTACAATCGTGAAAAATTTTCTTTTATCTTCCGCGAAGCTAAATACTTTTTCTTACAGTCTATACAGTTCCCATGAGAAAACTACCATTCTACAATCCTGACTAATTCGCCGCACATCTATTTCAAATTAATGCATTCTTATCATCGTTTAATCTTTCTCTGGTTTCATGATGCCTCTTTCAATCTTTTACCATTGGAACTAAACTGAATCTTATCTCAGATTCGATCAGATTGTCAAACGATATAGGCCCGTAATCGGCAGAATTCACAAGATTTTTCTTGGGCACAATTAGTAGGATGATTGACAATATGCTCTCGATGAACCATGATCAGAAAACTCGCTTGAAAAGAACTTTAGTTGGATGATGCGTGCATTTACGTAACAGATGATTGATGATATACTGCACTCACCAGTGGGTACTTCGATGAAGCACTGCGAGAATGGCGCAATCAAAGGACATTAGCCCCAAAACAACCGTTCTTCTTTTCATCTACAATCACTCACTGGTTCATTCGTTATTTAGACGAGACAATAGCGGTATTACCCTTGAGTTCATCCAAATAAACACTCAATGACTTGTTCGTCCTTTTCATAGTCCGAAAAACGATAAATTCCTTCTTCTATCTATTTTTTTTAATCTATAGTGGCCAATCTACTGTCTCACGAAACCTGAACAAGAATGAATAAATCAATGAAGAAAGAAATGAAGAGAAGAAAATCGACAGCTTCTTCTGTAGCCAAACTGTCGAACATGTTGAGTGAATATCAGCTTCAGTTTCAGAAGAGTTGTTCCTCAATCTTTCAAAGAGGAAGCAGCTGATTTAAGGGGAGCCCCCTTTCCCGACTCAAAATTTTCACATTTTTCGTTTTTCATTTTTTGTGATTAGTATATAGATTTGAATGCCATCTATCCATTGAGCACACGTTGAGAACTGGAAGCCCACATCTTATATATAAAAAAAACTCGAAAAAAATCATAAAATATGCTGAAAAAACCAAAAAATACAAATTTCTTTGCGTTTTTCTCAAAATCAGTTATTTCAGCAAAAAAATGAAGTTTTCCCCCTTTTTTCGCCTCGCACTCCAACCAATCGAGGTCAAATTTTTACTGTGAATACTTTGAACAAATTGGAGTGTGTCTTTTTTTTCTCTCAAAAATATTCTTCCTAAGAAATTCCACTAGGTACCACAAAATTGGCACTATAAGAAAAGAACAAAAAAAAGCGCATTTTTTGATAGTGCCGTCAGTAATTTGGTTCTCCTGACCCTCAGGAACGGCATTTTCCAAAGAAAAAAAAAGACACGCCCCAATTTGTTCCTAGTTTCTGCAGAAAAAATTTCCGCCGTAAACAATGAAGTATAAGAGTTTGGGGGGGGGGGGAGGAACTTTAGGTCATTTTTGCCCTTGGGTCGCAAATATCTCTGGAAAGAAAGCATTTTCGAGCTCTGAGTCTATGAAACTTTTGCTCTACTCATCAAGATCTATCTACCCTGAAAGTTTCAGAAAATTTCACCTAGCCGTTCTCGAGAAACCTCGGAAGGGGGAGGGAGTCCTTAAATCGACAAAAAATCACATTTGAGCCGCCAAAATCGCTGCTTTCTTCTTGGACCTGTCTCAGTTATAGATATATCTCACATCGATCGCTAGCACTTCTTTTATGAATCCGGTTGTATGAATATTCATGTACATGCGCGAATAAAAACGGAAATGTTGCCTTACTTGTTGTTGTCACGGAGGTTGACGTTGTTGTTGACGTGGAGGTTGACGTTGTTGTTGACGTGGAGGTTGACGTTGTTGTTGCCGTCGTTACTGTTGTTGCAGTTGTTGTCGCCACTGTTGTTGTTGTTGTTGTTATTGCCGTTTTAGGGATGCCGATCAAGGCAACAAGCATTGCAGCAATGCCCCCGCCCAGAAGAAGAAGAGCAAGTAGAGATAAAAATAGACAGATAGGTGAATATTGGCGACGAAGGTGTTTAAAATAGCTAAGCGAACGATTTTTAAAACTTAATAAGAAAAAGTGTAAAACGATTATTTACTGTTTCTTTTTATTTCTGTTCGACGCTTGGTGATGGATATTCTGAGAATCCACTTCATTTAATCGTGAGCCAGTTTCCTGAATTAATTTAAAAGATGAATATAGACAAAGGAAAAAAGATAAATAGTTTCATTTTGGTTTCAGGTTTATCATTGAATCAAATAAAATTATTTGTAATTATAACTCAAATGCAAATATGACCCATTGGGACAAAAATAATTTTATATTTAACTAACAGAAATGGAAATATCATCAACACTAAGTCATTTTAGTTTTTACCAATAAATACTTATTGACCATTCGTTATCTATTTAGAATATATTCTCGGAATTCCTTCAATCTATCATCTGACTTTTGATCAATCTCTACTTTTAGATGGAACTTGGAAAAGTTCAATTACAATATGGAAACTAACTAAGAAAAAGGCTATTGAAATACATATAACATGAAAGTATTTCATTGGGTTTTCAATCGATATTTAGTACTTTCATTTTGAAACACTTTTTTTCTGACATAGATGCTATGTAAACGAATACATTCCTAGTTTGTTGTATGCAAACGATGCTCAAAGGCAAACATTTTTCCTTGAAAACACCTCAAAATACAGTTTTTGCACAACAGGATGCTAAAGTTCTCTAATTCTATTGTCATTCTATCCTTTTTCACTAAATTTTTTAGATATAAATTCTATTTCTTAAAATTAACTGTTGTATGGATCCAAATTACGTTACCCATTGATCAAAGGAGAAAAAAGTGTAGAAAGCATACATGAACATCTTTTACTTCTAAAAAAACATTAGATTTTTATTACAACGATCATTCTGTCAGTCGGGAGAGCCACTTAATTAGAAGTTTAGCTAACAGAGTATGTGGCCAAA